AGAGCTTTGAATTTTGAAATGCTGTGGGATGAGGATAGGCAGAAAGTCAAGAGAACTAAGTTTTTACCCTACTGTTAGTCCCAAATATCCAGGTTCATCAAAGTCATACTTTCTAGTTAAAGGATGAGAATAAAAGGCCAGACAATAAAAAGACATTACTGAAAGTCAAGATATGCTATATTTCCCAATATTTCTTTTTTCCCAACTTTTGTTAAAATTTAGTCTTCTGGCTCCTCAGAATGACTACGGACCCCTTCCAATTTCAGTTATGATTCCACCTACTCAAGATTGAATAAAACCAAGGGAGAGGGACAGTTCCATTGGTAGAAATGAGGAAACCAATAACCAGATTTTAGGGAAAGAACATGAGCTCAACATTAGACATGTTGTATTTGTGTTAACAGTGGGACAGTTAAGTAGCTATTTCCTCTAAGTAGTCAGAAATGTGGAACTAAAACTTGGGAGAGATGTCACAGCTGAAGATCACTCTGGCAGAGGTGATAAAGGAGCTGTGGTGGATGAGCTTTCCAAGGAAAGGAAAAGAGAAAGTAGAAAAGAGGGGTAAAGACTCACTTGTCTTATCTATAACATAAAAGGGTTAGAATCAATGGACTCTTAGGTCTCTTCTGGTTCTGAACAATTATTCTGTGATCCTATAGAATGATCACTCTTAGGGTACAGAACAAAAAAAGTTGTGAAATTTCATTGATTCCTGATAAATTCAATTGGAGATCATTTGGTGGTAGAATCCAAACTTCACCTTTGCTGGGAACTTTATCTTTTTTTCATTCTATAATTGGTCTCTCTCTTGCTCCAAATCCCATGTAATCTCTTCAGTGTGCATTTGTAGCAATGGTGCCTGATCCACATCCCTTGGTAGTCTCATCTATGTGTCATCCGTCTTCTGTTAAAGGTAAAATGCAGAGTGAGGGTTGAAGTGCTGCATCTGGGCTCACATTCCACCGGTCATAAGGGTGTGGAAGACATTCAACATAGAAGCACACCATAGCATTTGCCAAAATTCCGAAATTGATAGTTCTCTCCTAGTTGCTAGATACAGACCAGAATACATCCCTCTGGGACATTAAAGGGACCATCTGGCATTTTTCAGACTGAATGATAATCCTTTGCTTTTAATTTTACAGTGAAAAAATTCTGCCCTACTGCTTGTTTCTTCACTTGAATACTTTGAGAGACACACATTTGATTTTTCTTTCTTGTTTTCTTTGCGAGAAATTAATCACAAATCCTTCATTAATTCACTAATTCATTAAACATTTAATAGATTTCCTATATAGGGTGATAGATGCTTGGAAAGATACATCTTTGTGCTCAGCTTTGTGCACACGGAATCATCTTTGAAACTGACATGGAGCCATAGTACTAGTCTAGCCTGAAAAATTAAGCTACTCCTAAACACCCCTCCCTTCAAGAACTTTACCCTCTAGAAGAGGAAGTAGATAAGCATGCAGAGACATCTTATTACATTTTCAAAAGTGAAGACACTGCTTTTCAAGACATCTTCCAACTTCCCATCATAGTAGAAAATATCACAAAGAAGAAAATTAACTGACTTTAGGATGTTCAGTGCCCTGTGTAGCTTAAGGAGCCACATCTTCTCTTTTTTTTCCCAGTGACTTTTATCTGTCTTTGTTTTTCACCTAGTGTTATTCTACTGCCTTTCTTGTCCTCTTCTATTTCCAGATCTTTTCACTGTTACAGTGAATACTTTCTGGGATGATCTTGTTGCTTAAGCAGTTTTAAGATGAGTACCTTGCAGCATAAATGAATGAATGAATGAATGAATAAATCAATAGAAATTTTTAGACAGTTTGGCAAGAGTATAAATAAGGGTAGGGATTGGAAGTGGAGACAGCTTTTCTTAGTGTAGCCTTTATGAAGGGGCATAAGAATGGGATAGGGAGTGGACAGGTCTCTAAACCAAGTCCTTTCAGAGTAATGGAAATCCAGTATTTTGCTAGATACTAATATAGGTTTGTTAATGTTGCAGCACTAGCATCATTATGTGATGTGACATTAAGGTGATGACTCACTGAATCCAGAGCAAATGTCATGTCTGTTGAGGAGGGTTCCTTTTGCATTCTTCCCTCCCCACCCTTCACAACTTCTCTATAATGTACTCCTGCTCTTTGCTTTCCTCTGCACTGAACAAGCAGCTCTATTCAGCTCATTTGCTTTTCCTATAAGATCATGAAGGCTTCCTTAGCTCCTAAGTGTCTGGAGGAGGGGTGTCAAATTCAGGTAGAAATGGAGGCCACTGATCCATACATAAGGGTCCCTGTTGACTGCATATTGACTTAATTTTAAAATATAATGTTATCTATATTTTATTGCATTTAATTTTTTTTGGTTAAATATGTCCCAATTACGTTTTCATCTGATTTGGGCTACCCGTAAGAATGTTGTAGGCTGTATTCACGGGCCATGTGTTTGACACCTCTTGTCTAAAGAACCAAGGTCCACATGAACCCATAAATTCAATTGAAATCAACAGTCGTTTATTAAGTATCTATGAGGTATTAGGGACTAGAGATACAAAGCCAAAAATAACAGTTTCCATTCTCAAAAAGATTCAGCATGGTATGTAGTATGGGTTTTTTTTCTTTGTGACCCAAAGTTTCTAAATGAAACAAAGGCACATCTTTTTAACACCAGTGTTCTTCTGCTGATGCCACATGGTAGCAGGTAATGAAACACCACTGTCTCTGAAGAAGTGAAGTCAAGAATCACCCAAAGGTCAATGGGGAGATAAATGGGAGTCAAGAACAGACTGTCACCCATTTTAATATATTGCAAATGAGAAATTTTGCCAGAGAAGCAACTTTAAGGATTTTATCAGAAAAAAATGTATCAATCAACTAGGATTTATTAGGTTTTATTTGTGGAACTGGAGAAGCAAATACAAGAAATGAAATAATCCACAAAGAGTCTAAATTCTAAGGGGGAAACAGTAAGTACATTTATAAATAAGTACAAAATAAAGAAAATACATGCAAATAAATTCAAGGCAGCTAAATAAAACATCACAAAACCAAAAGATAGCTAAATGAGCAGCCGGAGCTTGCCACACAATGTAAGAATAACTTTGGATGGATCTTCTGTGTTGGATTTAGGAGAACTTAATAAGAGTTTGCGTAGGATGAGAAAATGTGAGTGGGTTGCGATTGGCATTATTAGACCAAGTACCCACATTGATGAAATCAACAGATCCATTGAACTATATATTTATATATGTGAATATATATACATACGTATACATATATACATATACACACACATTGACTCTAGAGTGAATGACCTAGGTTCAAATCCTGTATCTGATGCTTACTACTTTTATGTCCTTGGGCAAATTCCTCACGCTCTGTGGACCTCAGTTTCTTACTCTGTGCGGTGAGGAGGTTGAAGCCTCTGAGATCACATTGAGCTTTTGATCTATGACCCTCATTACTGAGGAGCTGTAGTTCAGCAATGATACACATACATACACATGTGTATTTGTGTGCATATGTATGTATATACACACATACATATGTACGTATATATGTGTGTGTATATATATATACAAACACATTTTGAAATATGTGATCTCATCTGCCTGAGATGGTTTAATATGCAGCCTTCCAAAAATAATTTTATAATCATAATCTATGTTTCTCTTGGACCTCTCATCTTCCCCTCCCACCTCCTCCAGATTATTAACAAATAGAACACAAACAAACATACAGTTCTGCTCAGAGCTCTCCCCCAGATGATTGCCATGAAAAAATGGAGTTAAAGAAAGGTGGGAGGCAGAGTCAAAGGCCTCTCCCTTGTTTTCACTTCCCATTTCTCAGTAGGCCTGCCCTGATTTCTTCTAGCCTTTGGGCTTCTGAGCCAATGCATATTTTCATAGCTGAGAGATAAGTGTAACTTCTCTGGAGACTGGAGGATAGACGAGGTAACTTCTGCAGGTTCCTTTCAGACCTTTAGCTCTATAAATTCTTTTTTGTATGAGAGACAGCGTGGTGTTGTGGCATGATGGTAGACTTGGAGTCAGAAGGTTGTGGGTTAGGCCCCAGCTCTCCAACTTAGAATCCGTGTGACCTTCAGCAGTTCACTTTACCCAGACCTCTGTTTCTTCATCTAAAGAAATGGGAGTAATTGCACTTGTATTACCCAACCCCATGGGATTATTATTAGGAATGCACCATATAAAATTTCAGTTCCTCTATGAACAATGTGCTATGTGCATTTTTGGAACCTCTGATTTCATTGGTCTGGAGAACTCTTGCTATAGAAATTCCCGCCGCTAATCTACAACTCCTCAGTAACTGGGGTCATATGTCTAAAGCTAGATGGGAACTTGAAAGCTATCTGATTCAACCTCCTCATTGTCGGGATTAAGAATCTGAGGCCCAGAGAGGTTAATTAATTTGCCCAAGGACACAAAAATAGTAAACATCAGATATGGGATTTGAACCCATGTCCTTTATCTCCAGAGTCATTGCTTTTTCCACTGTTGCCTGGGCCACTGAGAAACAAATTGCCTTGAGAAAGGTCTTGAATCGAGGTCTCCCTATTCTCTGCTCACTATACCCGGCTGCTTCCATATGGTACAAAACTTCTTCCCACTCCCTACAGAGGTGGGCTCTTCTCTAAATGGCTCCCAGATTTTATGGTTGCGAGCATTAAATTGTGTTGCATATAGCAGTGAATTCTTCTGTAGTTCCCACCCCCCAGACCCTAATTCCCTTGTCTTTTCTTCCTCCAGGCAGGTTCTTTGATTCTATCTCTCCCTCCTAATCCCAGGTAGATTATAGGGACTACAATGTCAGGGAGCAACCAAGTAGTAAACACTCATATCCCTTTTGGGAGTCCTGCTATATATTCTTTCATGGCTAAAAAAACAAAAACACAAAATGATTACCAATACTATATTATGTTTATTGTTATCACTATTATTTATGAAAGATTTATCAAGCTTTATTATCTCCTTCTAGGTCACCAGTCTCCTCAGAAGATCAAGGTAAGAATCTGTTTTTACCAACATTGAGATAGGATTGAAAGTTGTGAAGTTGGTCTCACCTTGGATCTCCACTGCTGGAAAGAGAGCTGAGGGTTGGGATGGGGAGGAAAGGCCATAAAGATGGAAGCCCTGTGTGTTTCAGTTTATGAGCTCCAGTGTTTCAATATTAAACTCAATCTAGATTAATTTATTGTGAGTGTGGCTAACCCCTATTTTATTAAATTTATTTTGCTTAGCAAAAATGGCCAAACTAAGTTTTTTTTTTCTTCTTCTTGCTCAATACACATCAAATCCCAGTTTGACCTTAGGCAAGTAATTTAAACTCTGAACTTTGCTTTCCTCATCTATCAAGGTAAAACCTATTGGGAGGAAGGTTGAGACTGAGGATCTCCAAGGCCTCTTCTGGCTCTAACGTTTTGAGATTTATGAAATATATGATTCTGTGAACATTAGTGTCCAATTGATGGAAAGAAATCCCAGATGACAAGTGTTTATAATGTTAGGATGATGAGCTAAACTGTTTTGACAAATAGGTTTAATTTTTTAGTTAGGTTGAATAGTCGTTCCAAAGATCTGAACTGAAAGATGGTTTCTGTTCCAAAAGAAATTAGGCAACAAATAGTTTGTTAGCATAACTACCAGCAACCCAAAATGTTTTCTGGGGGGTGTTCCTCCATTGGGAATTTGAAGTCATATGGCTCATCTGAGTGTCAGAGTACATCTACGATGGCAAAATATATTATTGTTTAGAAAGGTCATGAATTAGTAGTTGGTATGAAGTAGCACCAGGCTGCATTTTCTAAGTACACTAAGCAGGGTTGGTCTCTATACAAAACTGGGCAGTTAATCTGAATCATTGCCTTCTTCCCACCTTCCATTTAGGTGTTCCCCCACCATTTAGTAACACTCCCAAGTGCCCCTTGTGCTCAGGCTTTCCCAAGGTCTAGACCTTTCCATGCACTGAGGACATTTCTCCCTTCAAAATTTTATTAAATCTCTACAACCTTAGAATCACAGGAGTCTCTGTTTTGTTTCCTTAGGGCCCCACTTCTCTTTTAAGGGTTCTGAATCATTTTTTGTGTGTCATAGACTCCTTTGGCAGTCTTGTAAAACCTGTGAACCTCTTCTCAATAAGTCAAATCAAGTCAACAAGCATTTATTAAGCGTCTGTTATCTGCTAGGCACTGTACTAAGTGTTTGAGATATAAAGAAAATCAAAAGAAAAATCCCAGTTCTCAATGAGCTCACATTCTATTTAGAATATTGTTATGTCTTCTCTTAAATCCAACATTCAATAAACACCTATGTACAAACAAAAAATATACAGGATAAATTGGTGATAATATTAGAAAGAAGGCACTAGCCTTCAGAACAATTATATTAAATTATGGTTTATATATATATATTTAGTTCATATATAGTATTATATAGGTAGCTAGGTGGCTCAATGGATAGAGTGCTGGGCCTGGAGTCAAGAAGATCTGAATTCAAATCTTGGCCTCAGACACTAGCTATGTGACCCTGGGCAAGTCACTTAACCTCTGTTTGCCTTAATCCACTGGAGAAAGAAATGACAAACTACTCCAGTGTCTTCGTCAAGAAAACCTCACGAATAGTATGGTCCATGGGCTCGTGGAGTTGGACATGACCAAATGTCTGAACAACAACAACAACAGAAAATATTATATAATAATACATATTAATAGCATATGCATATGTTATATAGTAATATTTTTATATGTTGTTCAAGGACCACAGGCAAGAATATTCTTGTTAAGAGCCTTCTATTTCTTAGGTACAATTTTACATTTTAACAGTGAGCTATTAATTACTCTAAGGAGTACATCTAATCCTGGTAATTTCAGACAGTCAAATCAATTTGTTTGACAATTTGTATTAAGTGTCTACTATGCGTAAGCAAGACACTGTGCTAGACAGTCTAGGAGACATAAATATGATGAAAACATGATCCTTGAGGAGGGCCGTAAGCTGTAAGAATCAGATTGTGTGGTGGAGAAAAGCCTGCCTACTCTCACCTTCATATAGCCTTCGTCAGCTCTCTTCTATGGGCAAGACAGCCCATTAAGTTGAAAAAAAGAGTCTCAGAGTTTTTTCTTCATTTTTTTCATTTTCATAAATTCTGTCATCTTGTTATGGGGCTTCATGAAGCAAGTCAGCTCATACTGTGCAAGGCATAAGGGAGTCAGCTGCCTGAACCATCAATTAAAGCCTTCCACAATTTGGCATTACCTTGACTTTCCATTTCCCTCTAAGAGCTCTGCCCCAGCCAAGCTGGCTACTCTCTGCAGACAAACAGTCATGTACACTCCCAACTCTTTTTCACTAATGTGGAAATCCTGCCCATCATCACCCATTGTCCCTACCTCTCTTTAAAACCCAACTCAAATATCAGTGTACCATGAAGCCTTTCTTGATCCTTTCAGTAGTGACCTTCCATTCAGACTTCATACAGGATTTTGTTTTACACGTCTTTCTCTAGTACTTAGCATATGCTGTTGTATATCATTAACTATTAGTGGCCATGTCTTATCTCTCTACTATGCTACTTCCATTAAGGCAACATATGTACCTTATCTGAACTTTGTAACCTCCTGTCCCCTCCACACCTAGCATAAAGCTCAGTATCTAGTTGGCCCACAATAAATATTTTCTGGGTTTAATTATGTTTTGATGACAAACCAGGAGAAAGATTAGACAGACCATTTGCTTTTAGCAACATTGGTCTTCCATCATTCAGTGATAAACACATATTAAACATTCTATCTGAGTCCATTGAAGAGACTAAAAAAGAAAGTTGGGGCTGAAAACACTTTTATTTAACATGTTTATGGGAAGACAAAGTGACTTGACTTGAGACACCCAAGGTAGCACCAAGAGGGAAGTAGAGATCACAGGGAAATGATACTATGGCAACATCTCCCACCTTCCCTTGCCCAAACCAGGGCAATGGCTGACACTTCCAAATTATAGCAGCCTGAGAATTCTCTACCTTGGAGCCAAAATTGACACCCCAAACTCAAGTGAGGGGAGTGGGACTGATATTTCCAAATGAGGAAGGGAAAGGCAGAGAAGAGACACAACCAAAGATATTGTTAGATGCCATGGTCTTTCAAATAAAGGGAATCCTGGAATCTTTCACAAGAATATACTTCCAGAGCTTGGCACATTGCTACACCAAGATTGTCCTGGACAGCTCCAGAGGGTTTTTTTTTTCTGATTTAATCATTTTTTTAATTAAGAATTTATTATGTGCCAGGCACTGTACTAAGCTCTGGAGACAATGATATAAGCAAACAAGATAATCTATGTACATAAAACAAGAATTTCCATAATATAGAAGGATAGAGAAAAAAGGTGACTGCACATGAAACTGCAAATCTGTTATGTACAACTTGCTGTTCCTTTTAAATATATAATAGAGTTATCAAGTATCTTTCTTTTTTTCCCCTTTTTCTTCCCTCCTCCACCTACACCCTAGAGATGGCTACCATTAGACACAAATATGCAGACTTACATACATACATGCATGCATGCATATATATATGTATATATAGTATATATGTGTATGTATGTGTATACATATATATATAACCATTCTATACATACTTCTATTTATCAGTTCTTTCTCTGGATGCAGATAGCGTCTTCCTGTATATGTCCTTCGGAGTTAATTTGGGTGTTTATAATAGTCAAAATGACTTTGTCACTCAAATTTGTTCTTAAAAAATATTGCTATTACTATGTACAATGTTCTCTTGGTTTTCAGAAAGTTCTGACTTGTTTCCTACCCTTGAGGTCACAGGCAGGTAGAAGCCAATAAGCTTAGAAGTTATGAGCTTAGAAGGTTCTAACCACAGACAATTCCATAAGGCAGAAAAAAGACCTAGGAAGAAAGAAAGATGTGTCAGGCAGGAGGAAAAAGTGGGGCTAGGGGATAGAAAGTTTGTTAAATGGAGATAATCTAGACTCTCAGAAACCAGAAGTTTTTCTAGACTACAACACACCCATATTCAGCAGCACTTCTGAACAGCATATGAGGAAATCATTTTCTCTGTCCTCCACAAACTTACCCTCTCCTTCATATAGTGGAAAGAGCACTGAGGTTGGGGTTAGAGATCCTGTAGTCAAGTCCTGCCTCTTTGACTTCTTATCTATGTGACCTTGTGCAAGTCACTTAACCTCCTTGTGCCTCAGTTGTACAAAGTGGGAGTTGGAGTAGATGGCACCCAAGCTATGATGTAGGATCATCAGTGTGATGGTGATCCTCCAGCCTGTTTCTCTGGCACATTGAAGCCATTTACCTGTTCCTCTGGAACACGAGGGAACAGATAACAACCTTATCATTCATGTCTTCTAGTTACTTAGCATCCTTCTACTCTTGGAGTGAAACAACTTTTCAAAATGGTGTTCAGCCACCCAAAGTTCTTTCCAAGGAATTTCTAAGTCTTTGTAGGACTCCTGAGTTCCGCGGTCTTGTGAGTGGCTTTTTGACAAACTCTCTCCTTTTCCTTCTTATCTTTCTTTCACGAAATGAAATGTTTGGGCTACAGTCCACACTTTGCTGCCTTCCTAAGTGTACGGTTTCTTAGGATTACTGTTTTGTATCCCCACCAGAATACAAAATTGCTAGAGAGGAAATGCCGAGTTTCACTAATTGTTCAAAAAGCATTACAATGAAGTGAATCTTGGCAGTTGCACTGTAGGATTGATAATTGCTGCATAACTAGTTTGTGTGACTTGTTGAAGCAGCACCATCACAAAAATAACAGGCTGCTCAACTGCTACATCATTTGACTTTGAATATTTTTCATTTCATTCTATTCTGCTTTTTCAAACTATGTTTTAAATAGCTAATGTAAAAGAATTTTATTAATCTGCATCGTCTTAAAATTTGGTGGATACCATTTCCCTTTTCTATTTCTCCTTGGAGAGAAGAGTCTTTCTTCCTTCATTTATTATTATTATTATTTTTCATTTAT